AGGAGGGGGGGGTGGGGGGGGGGGGACCAAGAGAATTTATGCATTGAAATGTTCAAACTTCCTATCAAACATTGCCGGGACACTGATGCAGCGTGTAACATGAACAAGGAAACAGTGAAACCAACTAATATGTGGGTCAGATTGCATGATGAAAGCAGCACTAGCCATAACAGTGGTCTTCATCTCCTACACCTAGATACTGGCCTCACAAAAGTGCCCACTTATCCTTGTTTCTCATAAAGCTATAGGCTCTTTTGAGCTATTCTAAAGACAACAACCAAACTTTATACACAGTGAAGCTAAAGTAAATAGGGATTAGAAACAATTCACTGAAATTCAAAGATCACACGCATCACATAGACACAGGGAAATTTACATGCCAAAAACATGTGCAAGTCAACTTATTTATCCTTTTATGTTATTGTGGAAAGCGGAAACTTATGATGTATCACCATGGATAATTTATATCACTTTCATGGCAATTAAAACTAACAGAAAAAAAAGGCATTCAACGTGATGAAAATCATGAAACAAATACTCATTGAATCTCAGAACTGCAACATAACACCTTCTCACACCATGTTTGGAGACCATACATAAAAATAAAATAAAATAAAATAAAATATAAAAAAAAACTGAACTCATTAGGATTTGGTACCTAACTAAAATCAGTGGAAACATATTTGTGGGGTATGCTCTAATACCTGTAATAAGAAACACCAAAATAGAGGCTTTCTGTGGTGAAGGTCATTGAACATGTTATTCTCTCATGCCAGCATTTATACCCATAAGTGAGCCTAAGAAATAAGACCAATTCTAACATTACAAAGGGGCAATTGTCTCATGATTCTCCTTGAATCATTTCCAAGGCAAGGGACGGATCAATCCAAACGGTGCACCACCTGGAGAATCTGGAGAAAGCTCATTGACAGCAGCAAATCTCTTTGTAGATGAGAACCATTCAACCCTTTACCAAGAAACAACAAAGCAACCAGCTCAAATTTAAAACTGTAATCATGAGTTTAATAATTCAGGCATGACAGGCTGTGAGGGAAGGAGGCAAGAAAAAGCTGGAGTAGCAATGTGTCTGTATGTGTATGAGTGACTATGTGATATCTATAGAGAGAGAGAGATATGTGTGTTCATATAATAATATGAATATTTTGTATTTGTATGATAACATTTACTGTAGTTGATTGTATTTTGTACATATTGTAGCTTTAATGTAATGTGGGAAAGGATATATAGAAGAGAGGGGACCACAAAGATGTGTAATAATAAAAACAAATGACACTCAACATGAGCCAATGTAGGCCAGTGAACAAGATATTCCAGACAAAGTCTTGCAGGACTTGATCTAGATATGCATGAGCAATGAAAGTTAGTGCTTCTTTACTATGCCTCCATAATCTCTCTCTCTCTCTCAAAACTTTCTTGATTTTTGAAATTCGACTATTGGGATTTTATTATTCTTTCCGTACATTCTGAACAATCATGTGTGTTTGAGATTTCATCAGAAACCAATTTCAGGTATTGTTGGGTCCTTATAATGAATTTCTCTTGACAGCAGTAAATTAATTTCAGGGTGATACAAAGAATCGTGAAATCTATTAAGTGGTTTTTTTTTTTGGTTACATGAAATTCTATTCAGAAGATCATTGTGCATATTTTTCTTCTCTGGAAAAAATTTGTCAACAATTTTTTTTCTTTACTCTTTGACTGGTTATTGGTCCAAGTGATAATGTGCTAAAATAATTGGTTAACATAAGTTACTTCTGGCATACATATATTAATCTTTCGTTACCTGGCATGCATATATTAACCTTTGATTACCAATTTTAAGATTTGCGAGAACATGTTTATGAAAAAAAAAGTGGTTAAATGTTTAATTCTCTTTAAATATATGATTTCTCAGTTCAAGTGATTAGGGTGTCTAGTCTGGAATGTGGTTTCTTGGTGGCAAAAATATGTTTTATTTCCTTAATAAATTCACCAACTAAAAGTTGAATTAATCAAAGTTTACTGTATTATCTAAATATCAAAGTCTCGGGGGAAAAAATAATCTTTCTATATTAATTATGAGCCAGATCCATACATAAAACCTCAGTTTTCATAATGGTTCCGATGCAGCTCTTTTGGAAAAAGCAGTTTTCATTTTGTATATCAAAAAGCTAAAGTGAATTCCACTCATTTTGTTATATTTCCTCAGGAAGAATAAAGCAATAGAAATAATACCTTGATTGAAAATTGAAAAGTCATTGATAACTTTTATGTGTCTGGTCATAACGATATTGTATAATACAGTACTACCTTGAAAGGATGCATATATAATGTTGTAAGCAGAAAGTGATCTAATAATGCATTCAATGGGTGTCCCCTCTTCACTCTTCCGTAGTTTTCTTACAATTTGAAGATTACTCTTGTTAACCAAAACGTGGACATTTTGTTAATAAAGAATTACCACTATATATTATTATATCAAGCAACCCTGTATGCTTATTATATATATATATCGTCAAGTAATCAAATAATTTAAACAATTATCTAATAATTCTACGTACGTATTTATTGTCACTTTTTAATTCCTTTGGTGTTCGTGTTATTAAAAAACCACTAATGAATGATCTAATCTAATGTGAACAGAAGAAAAAATTGTTAATAAGTTGTTAGCAATAATTAAAATAAAACATAGTATATACCAGTAGTAGTTGAGAGTGAGAGAAGAGAGTAATCTGATCCATTACTTTCCCCCTAAAAGCTGGAGGGCTAGAAAGAAATAGCATACAAGCTTCTTCAGATCCAGAAAAATCAGAACCACACACATGTATATTTGTCCAAATCATGATTCTGATTATTAAGCAATGCATAGATTTTGCTATTTAAAATCCTCTTTCATCGTATACATATGTGGGCATGCCTGTCTTTGTCTCTTACTTGTTTAGTTTGTTTGTGTCTGAAATGCATGGCCTCTACTTTTAAATCGTGAAGCCATAAATGTTAGAATTTGTTAGGCAAATAGATACGCGTGATATATAAGACGTGGCTTAAATTAAAATGATACATATTTTGTTTAATAATTTCTCCTAGTCTAGGGACAAGAGATGCAGAGATAATTAAATCGCAACTACTCTCCATAACTCTATCATCTTTGTATCATGTGAGATTATTTTTTTTTATCCATCAAAATCAAACACACAGAAAATTTACAATATTTGCACATCCAGCTTAATTATAATAGAATGAATTAAACTCCCTTAATATATTATATGTGAGATTATGAAGTATCTAAAATAATTTATAGATTTTATAAGATTTTCCTGCTAATTTTTACCGATATGTATTCATAATGTCGATTTTATAATCTCCATTTTTTGAAAGGCGATAGTTTTTTGAAATTACTTTTATCTTTAGTAAATCATATAGCTATATAGCTTCTCTTGAATTAAACATTTAATTTTACTCTTTCTAATTTTCATTATTTTTGGACATTTGATTCCTCTCATATATACTTCTTTGGAGACAAATTTGTTCAAAATACTAGAGTCAGTTTAATATAGGGATGGCAATGGGTTCTATAGGAGTGGGTAATAGTAAACTCGTCCTCGCCCCACTGAATGAAAATTGACCCCATACTCATATCCGCGTGGATATCCATTAAGCGGGTATCCATGAATTTCTTAAATACCCAAGGATATCTATGGATATTTATAAATTTTTTAAGAAATTAAAAAAATTATATTATAAATAATTTTAAGTTTATATTTAATGTCATTGAAATATTAAAAATAAAAATTCAGTGTTAATTTTAAACTTGTATTTAATGTTAATTTTGTTGAAATAATAATAAAAATACAAGATAATCAATAACTTAAAATACATCAATCTCACAAGTAAGTTCTCACAAGTAAGTTAAAGTCTCATCACAAAGCTACAATAATTCAATCTCATAATTCCAAATAAAAGTAAACAACTTAAAATACATAAATCTTATTGGTCCAATCAAAGCTAGAAAATTAATCAAATTACATTCAACACAATTCTATAACATGCTTAACACATGTTGACAACTTCATCAACCTCACTTTTGTAAGAAAATAAGATGAGAGAGTATAGTTTTAGGGTTATGTAGTACAAAGATAATTAGGATATTTAAGAAATATTATTAAACGGGTACCTGCGGGTATGGATATCATAATACCCGCCCCCGCCCCGTTTATAAACGAGTTAAAAATTATCCGTCTTCATTATCTACGGGTACCCAATTAACCTATCCATTTATTATCTATAACAGATTTTATCCGCAGATATTCGCAGGTGTGAATATTTTTGTCATCCCTAGTTTAATAGTGGAGGTTGAGATAAATATATAGAATTTAGATTCCATCTCATTATTGTTATTGTAATCTTTTTCATTAATAGTTGAGGTTAAAGCAGTTTATAAATAGTTCTCTCTTGTGTAACAGTAAGTATCAAAATATGAATACATTTTTCAGGAAATTTGAACATTGACTTGTTAATCCAATTAATGTTGTTTATTTATAATTAGAATTTTATTTTATGTATTGCATGGGATAAATATATGATTATTTTATATAATTAAAATTTCTAGTAATATTATTACTTAATTTGATTGATTTTAATGATTAATGAATTTTAATTTGATTTGTTTTCAAATATAATTACTTAATTTTTAATTTATTTTTATTCAAATTTAAAATATTAATATACTATATGAAATTAAAAAGAAATCATGTTTTAAAAATCCAAATTTCAGTATCATTGTAATTTAAATATTTTAGTTTGAATTTGATTTATAAGTTTTACATTCTAAAATAATATAGTAATAAAGATGATGCACGTATTTTAACTCGTACTTTATTTTCTTAATTTTATCTCAATTTTAAAATTATTTTCTCTTTAGTTTATTAATATAATGAATTCAGTATTTATTAATAATAATAAAATATTTACTATTTTATTTAATAAATTTATTATAAATTTAATTGAAATTTAAATATATCCATATAACAGGAAAATTTACTAGTAAAATATTAGAATAAAAATAAATAAGTTGGAAATATCTTAATGAATTATAGGTAACTCCCAAAGTAAAACATGAGAGTGAGAGAGATGATTTTGGATTTTGTTGGAAAATGATGTTACCTATGTCACTATGTGATTATATTGTCGTTTTCTATTAAAATTACCTGTTATTATTATTCTCTACAGACCAAGAGAAAGATCTGCGTACCAGACACCAACTGCTGTGGTGGACATCAAAAGTTGTCAGAATCAAATATCAATTTTATATCCATCTTCACTTAAACGGATTCGTTTTGGAAAATTATTCTCAACGTCAATGAAATGTTATTTCTTTAAATATATATCAAACACAAAAATAAAGTATACAATATTAGATATATTATCAATTTTTTGTTTACTTCGTGTTCGTGAACATGTTTCTATATATAACAAAGTCATGAGTCTCTCTCAGCATGACTCAGTAATAAAACCAAACTCTCCTAGATATCTCAGTTCACTCACTTTCAGGGATGTCTTAAATTAACCATTGATTGGGAATTATTCATATGAAAAAATCATGTCAAATATATATTAAAAATAACTTTGAAAAATATATAATTATTTTTTTGAATTTCTTAGTATATCTTAACATTTACCTTATTCTAACATTTGTTCGTTTTTCTAATTTCTATATTACAATTTCCGTCAGTTGGAAAAAAAGAAAAAAAGTAGTTTGGTTATAGGTTATAAGTTAGTGTTGAAATGTAAATAAAGTCTCACGTTCAAACAAAAGGATAGAAATGAATTTATATACACATAGTTGTCTCTATTAGTAGAGAGGTCTTTGCGTGCTTCCCAACAGGTATGTCTACGTTCTCATTTTCCTTTTAATTCTGGGGATTGAAAGACGTGCGTGTGAATAACAAAACTTTATTGCCGAACATTATTCCTTTCCTACACCGAACTCCTTTTCGAATGTTTTCTATGAATAACACTTCACCTATATACCCATAAATAACCCAAACCAACTTTTGTGTTTCAAGATAAACTCAGAATGGAGTGAGTGAGAGTAAAGCGTACTAGGATGTGTAATATTTTACGACATGAATATGCTAGAAATTTCTAAAATAAAATATATTTTATTCTAAAAATATATAAAACCTT